CTAAGTACTGTCCGACACTGGACCGGAAAGATCACATGATTTTGCACTGTCCCTATGCACTGTCCGTAGACTTCCCGTAAATTTTATTGTCGATCATGTGATTTATAGCATAAACGTTCTTGTTTGTTGTATTTAGTTAAATCTTTAAGAGAACCTATATTCCGTACCATACCCTGACCCTTTTCCAATACAATGAACGAAATAATACAGTACAGGATTCAAGATAATTCGCCAATGCATCTGTTTTGTGGAATACGGGTCTCGGATATTTGTAGGATAGTAAAGCGATTTGTTATTATCAACTGTCGAACTATGTGGATTTAAAGATGGCAAAAAATGATAGATTATTCGTCTTGTAATTACGATAATCTTCGTTCGCCAGCGTCATCACGAGCGGATCAAAATACAAGTCACATGGCATAACGTCCCCAAATCGATTCCAGTTGATTCACTAGCACTAAGCACAAAGCGCATATCATCGGTTTGCAAAAATACTGATACAGTAAAACCTCTCTAAGTGTACCCTCCTCGAAACCATAGTAAAAAACAGGCAGAGTGTGCACTTAGAGCGGGTGTGCATTTATAGAGTAATATATATATGTGTGTGTGGTCTTATAACTTGGAACCAAGCCATATCGTGCTTTTAGAGAGAATTTATATAGTGCGTGCATTTATAGAGGATGCACTTTGAGAGGTTTTACTGTATATTGAATGCTGTTATTGCTACGATTAGTGTTAGTTATAGATGGATTATGATGACTAACTTATTCAACTAATTTGAACAGAACACGTTTATGCATATATTTAGCCACTTACATAACCATTTCTTTCATTTTTGCCCTAGAGAAAATTTGGAATTTCCTGAAGCGGATATGGACTAATTCCGAAAATATATACGGAATTATTGCGCTTTTTCCGGATAATTCTAAAATTGCGCCAATTCCGATGCAGTTCCGCACAGCATTTTCATTCCATTTATTCCCTTTCTGCAAAAGTAACATTTTGCAAGAAAGTAATAGACTTGATCATTTCCCGACATTGATATCTTCTGAAGTAGCGTGAATGCTTTTCTCATATTTCGACCTGTCCCGCTTCACCCTTAACTATTCAAAAAAATTTTGTTGTTCCAATACTGCTTTAATATTCAAGCTAATATTGGTATTTTAAGCTTAGTACAAAATATGGCTACAACACAAAAAATGTAAATAAATGAGTGATTAAATTAATTAGCCCGGTGTTGACCAATAAATTTTTATGATAAGACTCATGTTACGTTCACGCCCAAAAATTATTTGCATGTATTTGTCGTCGAATTCTTCATATCGAGATTACGTACGATTAAAAATCAATGTACCCTTAATTAATAATGTCGATTATGTAATCGTTGATAGGCGAAACGGAAATTTGCATGCATAATTCCGCATCATATTTTTGATGGATCTCTCCGAACAACTTGTTCCAAACGTCATTTACATTAATGCAATTCACACAGTACAAGTATTTTAGAACTTTGAGCCAATTCACTCTTAGATTTTGGCGCAAAAACCACCTAAAACGTGGTCGTATCTCATCGCGTGAGTTGTCATTTGCATAACAAATAATGCACGCACATACGCGCATTTACTTATGGATGATCTGCTAAGAAACGTGGTTCACATAGAGCGAACAAAGAAAACGATTTTTACACAAACATTGCAAATTGATATCCAACATTCAGTCATCAAAACAAATAGTCGTATTGAAACCAATAGAATTTCCTCCCGATTTGTGTGGCTTTATTATATTATTTATATTATCATAATTTAGCTTTTTAGCGTGAAGTTATAGTGTTGTAGTAATTATGCAGAGATAATGGCGTGTCCTATCTTACAATTATTATATATTATAGACATAATTTTAGATTATGTGATCTTCGATAACTAATAATCTATTGCAAATCGAAAGAACAGAACCAACAGAATCATTGGAGTAATTTGCTATGATAATTCGCGAAAGCGGATATAAATCGAATTTTAAAGAAAAAAAAAGTGTTTTAATCCTGATAAATAACAATAAAAAATAATTATATTATGAGTCGTATGAAACAGAAAGCGGATTTACGGAGTAGTTAATGGGTAGTAGAGGAATAATCCCAATTTGTTTGAGTATTAGTATTATCGTTAAGAAAATTTTGATATTGTCCAGTATTCAAAGGTGGAAGATCATTTAGTCGCATTTGATAATTAGACGAGATTAAATTGTTTTGCTGCTGGGAATAATTTTGCAGCGGTTGAAGAGAGGTAGATCGGAGTGAGGATGAAGGACCTAATAAAGAACCATAATGTGGATTTATCACTGGGCTTGTATTCATAGAAGGCGAAGGGGTTGGTGGCAAAGTCATCTGTCGTAAAAAACCTCCAGATTGATTGGCTGATGCTGTGTTGTTGGTTCTTTGATCCAAAGGAAGTATGAGGAGTGAGGATGTGGTGGCGGGTGGGTGAGTATTTTGTCGATAATGATGATTTTGATGATGATTATGATATGCATGATGATGATGATGATGATGGTGTGGTAAATGATAAAGGCTACTATCAATGCCAGAGGTATTATTAGTATTATTATTTACGAGGGAAGAATGAATCTGTGGAGAACGGATCGCATTCTCAATGCTCGTTTTCCGTGGGCTTGATCGATAAGGAGCATGATGCTGTTGTTTGACAGAGGACCCGCTCTGTTGACGTTGTTGTTGCTGTTGCTGTTGTTGAGTTGGAGGTTTGGGATATTTGCGATTGTAAATTTTACTCGTTTCTCTTGCTATTTCTTCATAATGCGCAATTATTATTTCTGGTTCATCTTTCCAACTACTCGCAACAGAAGCGGAGACATCTCGCATCGGTAATCGAAATCCTCTTGCATGTAATTCTTCAACATATTTCATTCGATAAATCATAAATGCATTTGGAGGTTTTGTGGGAATCTTTCCCTTTCTTTGTTTCGTAATTAAATCTTCAGGGTTCACTTGCGGAGGGAAAGGAACTTTTATTATTGGCTGGGGAATTGCATTGTTATTACTGTTAGTTCGAATTTGGGAATTTGGAGACGCTACACTAGCTGATTCATCGATTATCAGCCACTGTGACGATGCATGCTGTTGCTGCAGTGTTGCTGGCTGTTGCGGGGGTTGCTGTTGAAGCGGTGACGATAATGACAATGGTGGTAACTCAAGAGTCAATTGTTGTCTTTGGTGTTGTTGTATCTCCTGTTGTTGAAGATAGCGTCCTAGACCTAATTCTGCCATTATGTTTTTATTTTTCTTTTCTGTTTTATTCCTCTTTTTTTTTAAAAAAAAATTTAATAGCAGCAACCTATTTATCTTAATGAATTATTAATATATGTGTGGCTCTCGTTTAATTAGTAAGATTATTTGTCGTTATTATTGATTGTGTGGTTCTGATAATATAATGAAAAATAAATGGCGACGACTGCGATTTAGTAAAGTAGATGATATCCGGCGTGCACGCAATAAAGTACTTTTTTTCTTTGCTTACCCGCAATAGTAAAAAAAAATCATTCGATTTTAGATATGAATAATTATTATGGGGAAAAGCTGGGGGTTTGGTTTATAAGCCAAAAAAAAAGATCATGACGAATTTTTTTATTATAATTAATATGACTGTTCTTTATTATAGTGATGAACTTTGTACCCAAGTATCAAGTAGAAGAATGGCAGTTTTTTATATAAAATCTACTGCAGTTCCACAATTGTACAATTAAATTAAATATATACGACACATGTAAGATATATAATGATAATATATAATGCTTATAGAATACGCAACTTTGACCAAATTTTTCCGAGCTCATTTATTTTGGCGTTAAAATTTAATTAAATAAATTTCTCTGGCTGATTTTATGTTTTCTAATGTATTAACTGACGTATTGTTACTTCTGACTTCTGCTATGAGGAGAAAATAATGCGCATTATGGAATGCAGCCATTTATTCAGATGGGTGGTGATACACCGATTTATATAACTCTATTTCAGCACGTTTGATCAAAAAAAGGTTGTGTGCAAAATTTCATCAATGAAACAGCTAACTCGTACGCAATAACCATAACCAAAAACCATTTATTATATAAAGCACACATTCTTATTATCCCTGCGAGCACGAGGCGGGAGAGCAACACTTTTTGGCTTGTGTACATTGAAGCAACGCCAATCGAAATGGCGCTTTGAGGCTGGTGCGGTGAATTTCATATTTTATGTGATACTTTGAACAAAGAAAAAATATAAACAAACGACCATGTTTTTTTCCTGTGCTGATTTTAATTTATTGATGCAACTTCCGAACATTGTTATTTGCATAAAATTAAAACGTGAGATAGATACATGTATTTGGCAAGTCAGGCATAACAAATAAAGCGTTTATTAAAAATTCGTGTAACCACATTCTCGCATTTAATAGGTGCCCACATTTTGGCGAATCATTTGTCATCTGACGTAGTGTGCTTTCCCAAAAAAGTCAAGGTTCATTTATGCAATTGGTGCATATATATTTTTCATAATAAACATTCAAAAATCATCTTGAAGACTTGATCGGCTTCGAATCATTACCAAAAATTTTGGTGGCTAATTTTTTATTAGTTTGCTTCATTCACACATAACATGTGTACATGTATGAAGTAATTTTGGTTAAAGATCTTCGGATCGCATAAATCGTAAATTAAGAATGAAATCCAAGCGAGCGGAAAATTAATCAAAGGACCCTGTGTATTCATAATTAATATAAAAAATAATTCTTTGAGCAGAAGCACGATTCTACACTCAGATGCTGTTGATGTTTTTGTTGCTGCTGCAAGGTAAAGCAAGAAAACATTTCGAATTTCCGGTCGAATACACTGTATATTATGAGCCTTATCGAGTTTGTTTCGGAGTAAAAATATCGATGTTTATTAAAAAAAAAAAAACAGGAAAACATAAAGAAATTGTCTTTAGTATTGTTCTATTTTTCGGTAAGATTAAACAACAGATCAGATGACAAGCTGGTAAAAAAATTGCACACAGTTCCACGATATTAAACATCTTGCAACTTACCTATCGGAGGTTATTATTATCTCCTATGAAACCAATTAGCTTTTGATCTGTTGACCTGTCTTTCCCTTTTCATTTTATTAACGCTGCCTCTTATTTATTATTAAGTTAATTATTTCGCAACCCTGAAAAGTTATCTTTCCTATCGGAAATTAAGCTGCCAGACCAGATCAGATTACGAACTCGTTTTAGTATGTATAACAATAAATTTACTATTTATAAAGAGAAACAAAGTAAATCATCAATGAATCCCTTAAAGTGTGTATGCGCCGCTTATATACTTCTGTGATTACTAAGACCCTTAATTCTAAGAATATCTTTTTACATATTAAGCTTTATACATGTATAAATTAAGTAAATTCATTCATATCGATATTGATCCATCTTTTCAGGATGGCTCAAATTTATTTTAAGTCTTATATATTCAATCAAATCCAAATGAAACTTTAAAAACGCGAATTTTTTTTCATGATAATTATAAGGCTCGAACTTTCCGAAATGGAAAACATAACGTTTGCCACGCATATCCACAAGTTTTCTTTCCTTGACACGATTAGTGCCGATTGGACTCTTCCACGACATAATCTAGAAATTGCTGTGCTTGCACGTTTCAATAATCGAAACCTTATGCGAATCTCGATGTACAGAGAATATGTTTAAGAGATCCAGAAACTAACGGGAATTTTCTAGGGATAGTATTAGATTTTTCAGGAAGACTACCGCTACGGTTACATCTGGGCGCATTTAAGTCATGATCATTTGTGTCACCGCATGCAAATTTGGCGTCCTTGTTGATCGAAATTGATTGGTTCTATATCTCGGTACAACGGTGGTTAGACTGGTCAAAAAACAATCGTTTTTTTCCAATACAGGTTTTTTTTTTTGAGAATACTCAATTGAAAATTGGCTTCGTTTTTATCGCCAAATACTTATATATAGACAAATACACTATCTGTGTAATAATCTTTTGAGGTTTCTCGAGATTGTGTAATTAAAAATTTGGAAGGTGGCATTGATAGATAATGTGCACTATTTGATCCGTTAGCCAATACTAAAAATGTTATCATAATAAAGGAAGGAATTCGTTCTTCTCAAGGAATCATTGATCCTGAATGAGTGATTGTATTCTTAAACCATTTAAATGCTTGAATTTAGCTCTCATTTGTTTAATTTCTCCATTTACGCATATTATTTATACGAAAAATGAAGAATAACAAACACACAAAATAGACTCTTTTGACTTATTGACGGATCCACGAGGCAAACAAAAACAGAGGATCAATAACAATTATAGCAAAGAAATTACGTAACTATGGTTGATCTGAAAATCTAAATTACAACAAACACTGAAGAACTGACAAGTCAACGAAAACGCAAAAATTCGTATCCATTCAATCTCCAAATAGAATTCCATTCAATCTCCAAATAGAATTCCATTAGAAATCAATGTACTAATTTTCTAGAATTCGAAACTTTACGATAATTATTTGGGCTGTGCGAAACTCTGTTGTGCGCTTTTAGAATAGGTTTGTTGTGTGCAAATATACAAGTTTGAGAACAATTCGACAAAATATTTATGAAATCGTTTCAACGTGTGGATAAATTTCTAGAATAAATTTGCTAAAGGGAACACATGTCTTCCTTGTTTGAAGCCACCAACTGGTGTTTCACTTACGGAAACTTTTATCAAAATGCAATAATCTATTAGAAAATTAGATAACAATCAAAGAAATTTTGGATGGAGGATGTGTGTCAGTGCCCTCACGTGTGTATATACAGTCCCACCAAAAGGTATTGGCCCTCGATTTTTTCACATCCCACATAGTAGTTGTAGACTACATTTTTTGTGTATTGAAAATTTATTTACATCGTATACAAATACGATACGTAGTGAACAATTGAATGTTGAAGAATTTAGTGCAAGAAGAATGAAGAACAATTCCTTGTTTTATATAATAATTTGATTGAAAGAATGCCTAGGCATGTTTTGAATGCCAGGATGGTCAACATTCATTTTAATGATCATATTTTGTTTAATGGCAAGTACTTTTTGGATGTGACTGTATAAAAGATAAATGAGAATGTCTGCTGTCGTAATTTGTGATAAAACCGCTCAATCACGCATCCAATCAAATAATTGCATGTAGTTATGGTATTACTGCAACTCTACTATTGGCCAGTGATATCTAATATATTTAATGATCAAGCATTTCGAGTTGGAGTTTCAAATGAAAAGAATCAATTATGGAATTATACTTAGAATAATCTTGTTAAATTGGAAGCTTAGAATCTCGGAATCTCGTCTCCCGAAGTTCACATTATATTTTGCCAAGAAAAAATAGCATAAATCTTTAGGTTTCAAATCTGATCTTTTTTGTATTGAAACTGTTACTTTGCAATGTTGAAATTTCCGGATAAAGTGAACAAAACAAATAGGCTGGTTTCGAAATCAATGTGTAAGATCACATATGACCAAAAAATTGTGTGTGGGTTAACGAGATTCTCTGATTGTTACACAGGACACGAATTAAGTCTACCGTTATCGTTATCATATTAAAGTTTATGACATGTATTGTTATTAAAATTCAGAAGAAAACCACATTCTTTATATAATTTGAGTACTATGAGCTATATTTATGCCAATACTCCATTTTGTGGGACAAGTGAGAATTTGTGAATGTATAACTTAACGTTAAACGATCTCATCGTATTTGTTCTAATAATAGAATAAGACAATAGATTAATTTTGAACGTTTGTTCCTTATTTGCATTATTTAATATTTACTTTATACGCTGATCTACCGTAAAATTTTCTGATTCTAAAAAGTGTCTTATTTAAACTAAATTTTACTTAATAACGATATTTAAAAATATATGAATAGAAAAAGTTATGGAATGACATTCGTCTAAAAATATTAATGTGTGATCATTTTTAGCTTTAATAACAGCTGCAACTCGTCGCAACATGCTGGAAATTAAATTGCGTACAACATCCAAAGGCACTTTTTGCCAATTAAATCCTTTTTGGAGGTCGGAAGAGGCTCCCTTTTCTAATTTGGTGCTCTAAATGTTCCCATATATGCTCAATCGAGTTTAAATTGTGACTTTGGGGCAGCCATTCTAAACTGGAATAAGGCAAAGTATGACAGAAATCACCAGCTTGCTGAAAAGTTGTATAAGAATCAAATCACTCATCTAAGAAACCG